CGAGGGGGGGTCCGCTGCCCGAAGCGGAGCGCTGGGCCGAGCTGGTGGGCGGCAGGAGCCTTTACTGCTGCTCGGCCTCTGCTGCGCTGCCACGGAAAGGCGGTCAGGAAAGCGCCTGGAAGCCCAGGGCGTGCGGGTGTTCCTGTGGCGTGAGAACAGTCAATTTGCAGTAGGGCAGAGGAAGGATTGTTTGAAAGAATGGTAATTGTCTGAGAAGCAAAAAGTCTGGCAAGAACATTTCACCGTATTGGAAAACCTGGCCAATATTTAGCAGCAAATACTGTGCCAGAGAAGAAAAATAGGTGTTCACATCGAAGAACCAAAGAGGCTGCTCCGTGCAAATCCTGAAGCAAAATGAACAGCAGGCGTCCAGTAACGGGGGCTAGCTTAGATACAGGACCAGCTCGTTAGTGTTCTGCCTGAAAGCACAGATCACTCCGGAAAATGAGCAGTAGAGGCAATTCAGCCTTTATGTGGCAAATTTACCTCCCAGGATAATCTGGACAGAATCTCAATGAAATCGAAGATAAGGCTTTAGTTGCATTTCATTCTGCAAATGAATGCAACAAAACGTGAGTCATCCTTGCAATGTCTTCCGTCCCCGTGCCTTACCTGGCTCCCATGGCTTCACCTCTAGTCTTGCTAAAGCTTTGCAGGAGAAGGCGAGCAGGGGAAGGTCAGCCTGTGACACTGGATGTTATTTCTAGTGTAAAACTGAATGTGTTTGGTATGGATATTACTGAGTGTCGGTAAACACAGACAGCACTATGGCATTTTAAAGCATTGTTACAGACAGAAGTCAAATTTGGAAGCATCTTTTCACTAACTTGAATGCACAAGTATGATAGAAAGTGGACTCAGGTCGTTCCAGAGAAAGAGTTTGGTGTTTTCGTAGTGTTGGCTTAGCTTTACAATGCTGGTACTGCGTATGTGGTGTTCTCAGTTGTCACTTTTTACCTATTTTAGTTCTTGCGACCTACAGAGGAAAGTTGTCTTAATAAAGAAGGAAGCTCTGCTTATTTATTTATTTTCTGCTCTATCAGCAAACTACTCCAAAGAAAAGCCACCATAGTTCTGCATCGTGGAACACATATTTGATTACTATAAACCTGTACTGTAATACATGTTAGGGCAATTTCTGATTTTGTGTTAATCAAGAGCAACTTAGGAATTCAGGGAAGTTACATCTGTGTGAGACAAACATAAATGAGGGAATGATCAGATGCTGTGCCCTAATTTTTCCTGACAAGGCCGCAGAGTAAGGGCCCCATGATGTGAGCTGATCTGTCCAAATAAACGTAGTTTGATTTTTTCCAAACAGCGGGGCATTTGCAGATGGTGCTGAGCTCACACGGAGAGGACCGCTATAAATCAGACTGCTTTTCTTCAGACTGCTAAATGAAGACCGTCAAGCTTGGGATTCGGAAATGATTGCTGCATGTTCTGACCTGAGACATTAATGGATTTGCCAACCTGCTAGAACAAATGGCAAGACTCTGGGGGAAATTAAGCTGCATGGAAAACTCTGGTGTCAATGTGATTTACTCATTCCAAGCAATTACTGGAAGTTTTCTGTATTTGCATTTAGCTGTGCTTGTGTTTGATAAATTTTCGTTGTGTTTTATGTGTTTCAATTTCATTCGTATTTGTGATACCGATAGAATAGCTTATTTTAAAAGACTTCAGTGAAAACACAATCTAATTCTTAGCAAGATTGAAAACTTCTTAATTTTGCCTCTACTGGATGAGTAAGTAGCTGGTAGTGCCATTTCAAGTTGCTGTGTGTGCCCACTTGAAGGACTAGATTACTGTGGTATGCATAAACCATGTTTCGCACCAGGAGACATTTCATTGTGAGGTGGTTTCCATTGTTACCAAGCAACAAAAAAACCTCTTTATTTGTTCAATGACTGTGTTCTTTCTGTACCTCTTTTCAGGAAAGAGTTCACTACTTAAACCACTGCCTTGTTCTTTATGGTTTCTATGTACTGATCTTCTGGAGGAAGACCTCTAGTTTTACTGTAGTTTGTTGGCTAGGACTTCAGAAATGTGGAAAAACAGGAGCAAGTGGAGTCTTTTAAGATTAGTGCCACATAGGGAAGGTAGAAGAGAATGACCATGGTTTCCCATGGAGCCGAAAGGCAGGCAAGTGCCTTTAAAAATCCATCTTGCCAGTTGAAGCAGTTCACAAGATGAGTCACCAGCAGTATCGAAGTCTGTTAAAGAACATGTGCATGCCTGTTGTGAGAGGTCCTGAGAACAGACATGGCTTTGCCAGCTTTGAAGAGAAAAACAGTATTTCTTTCCTTAAATTTAATCCATTCACCCCTCCAGCAGGGCCGAACTACCTTTTATTCCCACACCGGGATGATGTGCCTTTAGTGGATCCCTGCTCAGGTTTGGTGAGTCCAGGAGCAGATGCTGACCTGCAGCCCAATGTTGGAAGAGCTATTGAATCCCTGGTGGACTATAGTGATGTGAAACCTCACCAGCAGATCCCTGTCACAGCAAAGAGAGGCCAGTCCGCCCACAGGAGGCAAATGATCCTCCGGGAGGAATCCAGCCAGAACACAAAGTGGAACTCCAGGGCTGTGCCAGCTGCTTCTGTCAGGGCACGGCTCACAGGTGAAGCAAACTATTATTTTTATTTCTTGATCACCAAAGAAATTATGGTGCTCAACAAAGAAATACAATTAGTTTCTGGACTCCGTCCCCCAACGTCCTGAAAGAACAACCTTGTAAAATATGTTTGCCCTGGATGTTTGAACTGAATGTAACAACTGCAGTAGAGTGTGTGATTCGTTGTCCCTGCTGTAGCAAAGAGGTACCAGTCAGCAAATTCTAACAAGCATTCTAATGCTACGAAGAAAACAATTAAAAATCTTTGAAGGTAAATAATGTTTTTAAAAAATCTATCTGGGTAAATTGTGAAGTTATATACAATAGTCCTAATGAGCACCTGTTTTAACATGAACCAAAATAATAAATCATTCCAGAATTGGGAAATCCCCTGGATACTTCTGTCTCTTTTAGTATTTCTTGACAAGTTGCAGTGCAGCACATTTAAAGACCTGTTGCAGTATCTAGCTGATCAGAGAACAGAATTTCTTTCGGACTGCCATCACATGTTGGTCAAAGTACATATTACCCTCTTATTTTATATCAGTGAGTTACACATAACGTTGAGTCTGATCATTTTATGTTGATTACAGCATCAAAATGGAAATTCACTCTTTCTAACATGAATAAAAAATGGGTTGGTTTTTAATATTGAGAATTTTCTGGTGAAAATTCTGAAAAGCAGAGGTATCTACCCAGGGCTTCTGAAAGCAGACATAATTAGCAGTAAGCAATATGGTTGAATTTTTATAAAGATTAAATCAATTCCAAGTATTTCTGTAGAGAAACACGCATTACAGGTAGAAAAAAGTGTGATGAGAACTCAGGCAACTTGCTCAGAGATGGAGGGAGGCGTTTCTTAGAAGACGGTAAAGAAATGTAAATAAGCTCCTTGTTCCATTTTGCTATACAGAGGTAACACTCTCCCTTCACGATTAGCTATACTTTATCCGTGTTATGTCACCAGAAAGTTTCTACATGCTGTAAATTCAGGCATTGTTTTTGGTTCCTTGTTTCTGTCTTCAAACTTTGCATCTTAAATCACTTTAAGCTTACTGCAGTCATATAACAGAACCCGAAAGAACCCAAGAAACCACAAGGGATAAAAAAATAGACTCCATAATTTTCCTTTTTTTTCTTGCTCAACCCCTGTAATTTTCACTCTTATTTCTCAGTTACTGTGTTCGCCATTTACATATGAAATTAGACCTCAGACACCAGTCAGAACTGATCAGCTGTTTTTTTTCTGCAAGTCTTTGGAAAAGTGAAGGGGATAGAAGATTTGATATATGCAATTCTATCTGACTGTTATTTTTTCCAACACAGAGAAAAGCAGACAGAGAACGAGATACTCAGGTAGGTAGAGACATGTCTGAAATGAACGCAGGCAAAATGTGAAACTGAATGTCATCAGGTCAGTAACTCGGGTTACAGTCAAGAAAGTGGTCCAAAATGGAGAGCAGTTCCAGAAAGCAGATAGAAACTGGTGGCTTTCTGGTGATTTTTTTGTTGGGTAAAGTTCACTGTTAGGGTAAAATACTGACTCCACTGAAGCTGTCGGAAAAAATCAAACTTAAATCAGGGACAGATCTTGAAACAGATATAGTCTAGCATACATTTCTCAAACGAAAGCTATGCAAATGTTCTTCCAAACCTAGTATTCATTTACAAGTTTTCCTGTGATGCTGAGGTATTATCTACAAATGTGTAAATATAGATATAAAACGTAGCTAAGTTTTAAGCTGCTATTTTTAATGATACTGCATAAACAAATTCCAGATTTCAGCTATATGATTCAGAGAGCCCAGCGACCAAGCCCTAGACATGTGATGTGATGAAAGTTACTAATCCTTCTAGATATCAGTCCCGAGACATTCCACAGCTAGGTTGTTTGGGGAAGTTCTGCTGAAAGAGGAATCAGTCAGGCATTTTGCAAGCAAATTCTACAGTCACTTTCTCCACTGTGTCAGGGAAGAACAGAAAAAAACCAGAGACAGAAGCAGCCTTTGAGACAGGTGAGCTGAGGTATATAAAACATCTGCAATAGACAGGAGGTTCTCTCTTGTGAGAAGATGTAGTGCCATGGCTTTGGCAGTCAGCAGTGTTACAATAGCAGTGATGCTTTGTTTATTCAACAACTTTGTTCTATCTCTAGCTTCTTTTGTTGTGCATGTCTTTCCAATGTAAACTGATGGGGCTTATGCTTATTTATAATCAGTTTTCAGGGGGTGATTTGTAGTCTTTTCTTCCAAATGAGTAGAAGAGAAGAATAAGTAGTGTTAATAGGTTATATTAATTTTTCATATATAAGGAGAAGTGGAATAATTAAAGTACTAACCAAAATAATCTGGAAGAGTTATCTGTAAGCGCTTCAACTGGCATTATTATCTCTTGCTGGGCCCACTGAAGTCAATACTCCTACTAATTTTAAAATATAAGAGGTCAAAAACAGTGCACAGTTTTCCAGTGACAGTGAGGTGCAGTGAAGCTTGTGAGACTGCTGGTTTTGTGAAACCTCTCTGCATGTGTCTTTATGTGGTGACATAAGAATCTCACTTTTTCCTTTAAAAACAAAAAGATGTTCTGGCTTTCATGGTTTCTGGGAAACAGCTTAGAAATGTGAATGAGTACATCTTCAGTTTCTGACTCAGAATCCAAACCAGAAGTTCCCCAAATTCATTATCCATCACTGAATCCTGCTTTGTCAGATTGGGAGATTATTTTAAGTAATAAACTGAAAATGACAGTAACATTAAACTTGTCATTAGTTAAAAGTGACAAAGCCAAGACGCTGAGTTCCCAACTTGGACAAGGACAGATCATGCTATTTTCAGTCCTGTGGTCTGAGCAAATCATTAGGGGCATTGAAACCTCCAGAAAGTTGACTTAAAGAAAAAAATATTGCCGTTTTTACGCTAGACCTTTCCACTGAAAGCAAAAGGAGAAGTAAATGTTAGAACAGTCATCATCCCAGCAGAGGCCAGTAGTGTCAAGATGGCAAATTACAGTATACAGTGCAAGAGCAGAGATCTCTAGAAATGTGTATGTACAATTATCAAAGCAAATGTAAAATTATATGCGTGTCCTCCTGAGGACATTGTAGCTGACATGAGTGTTTTCCGCATACAACACAAGGAATGACAGTTGTAACGTTTAGCTCTTTAATCAGTGAACGAAAGGAAGAGTATTTTTATAGAACTACTAGGACATATGAATGGATATATTTGAACCAATTACCTCTTTACTTTAGAGGGCACTGGTACATGCATATGTATTAAGAAATTACAACATTTCAGGCATAAAACTTAATGGAAGCATTCCCTTATGAGTACAAGTTGTATGTTTGCAGATGACATTTAGAGTTTACACAAATCTGAGGCAATGAAGATGCACCCACCATCTTTACTGCAAGGACGTTACCTGTTCAAGGTAAATTCCAAAAGAATTGTTTTATTTGGAAAGTGATTCAGCTTGAAAGCTCTTCACAATGCAAAGATCCACAAAATCTGTCAAGATTTTCAAAAGCAGCATCTTAAAGTTATAACACACTGTGCAAAAAGCTCTTTTAAAATACAAGTAATTTTATTTCAGTACCTACATACGGCATTAGGATACTAAACTTAGTCTCTTTTCCTGGAAGCTGTGATTTTCTTTTGAACTGTGTCAGAGTGATTAGTTCTGCAAGAACTAATTTTGCATTCTGTGCAGTGGTTTTCAACTTTCAGTCTTTGAACTATTTTCTCCACAGTATACCTGAAATTTCTACAAGTAACAAGGAAAAGTAACTATTATGAATTAGCTTAAATTTGCTGGCTAAAGGTCTTCATATACATTGAAAATTTTTAGGGGTCTGGAAGTAAAAACTACCCAAGTAGTAAGTTCTTGATACTAAATAGTAGTTTCCAGTGTTTGTAGAGAGAGTGATGTGATGGCTGTCTGTCTGCCTACCCCTTTTAGTATAGTATAACAAAGTATATTTAGAAATACACCTTTCCCAAAGTGACCAAAAGCATGATGCTTGTTAATGGCACAGCAGCTTGAATGATACTCTCATAAATATCCCTTACCTTATTTATAGAATTATTTTGTGGGTTTTATCATGGTTCCCTAAGGAGACAAGATGCTTCCGTTTGTCTTGTTTATCTGTCTGTTTGTTCTCCCCTAATCATTTTATCCCCATTGGCCAATTTCTACCAAATTTGATGGAGATATAAATACATCAAGGAAAATTGCATCCCTGCAAGATTTTTGAAGATTGAAGTCTGACGAGAGGAAAGACATAAATGAGAGTTCCTCTTGAGGGAGCCGAAACTCGGGCATTATAACATTTTTCTGTCTGGCAGCAGCTCACTTGGTTATCAGTGTGTGTGTGTCTGTGTGCTGACTCACCGATCAGTACTTACGTGACTCTCCAGTAACTGCAGGCTATGGCTTCTCCGTGAATAAGCCTGATTTGAAGGACCTGGACAGGGAGAGCTCACATTATTGGAATATGAATTTGGAAGGATGAAGGGGAGAGAAATATCTGTAGGAAATCAGTCACCTACTGCTCATGGAATAGCTTGTTTATTGCTTTCAGGGCTGGCAAAGATTATGTAACTGTAAAAATGCAATATGCAATTACTAGTTTGAGTTTCATTAACAAGCTTTTATTATGTTTGCTAATTTGGATACTTTCCTTTATAGAGTTAGTACTACACATGACAATATGTGAAATAAGCAAAACCATAGCAATGTATATTGAGATATTATTTATCACTTCCATCTTCCATGTAATTTAATGTATTTTTGTGGAAGTTTGTAGTTCAGAGTGGTAACGGGTAACTGAACATTGGTGCATCGGCTTTTATGGGAAGCCAAGAGTTGTTTTCATCCAGTTTAAAACAGTAGGGATTGCTGCAAATTGATTAACACAACAGGAAACCCTTTCTTTCAGGTTGGAGAACTCCAGTGAAAATTGCTCCAGCTCTACCTGACCAAAACCATATTTTTACATTTTGTATGGATCCCAATCTCAAGGCAAGTGTTTGATGCTCTTGTAATGACAGAAAACATGCTTAAGTCATTTTGTTTCTAGTCTGCTTTCCATTTAACATACTTCTGGCAGTGGTGGCAGTACTGTAGTGAAATTGGACTTTTTCCTTTCTTCATCTAATTTTATTGAAATAAAGGCTATCTTTCAGGTAGCTGTATGTTAGCATGACCAGATTTTAAGGGTGGCAATCACTCCAATAATTTTCATTTTTCATACTGTTACTCTGGTTAATGCATTTAGACTGTAGTGGGAGACTGATACTACCAATGTCGGTTATGTGAAACTGGAGACAGAGTTAGAGCAAAAATACCAGAATGTACAAAAGATACCAAAACCTCATACTTGGTATAAATAATCTTATATTTATAATATTGAGCCACTGCCTTATTTAATGCAACTCACAAACAAATAAGTAAATCAAAATACGTCAATGATTTTGTAGCACAAGTCTAATTAAATCTTTCCCATACTGAAAATGTAATGGCATCCTTCTACACTGAGACTATTCATAGCCCTTAAAGTGTTGTACATGCTTAAATGGTTAGAATACAGCAGAGTAGAGTGGAGTAGACTAGAATAGACTAGAATAGAATAGATGAGACTTTCCAGTTGGAAAGGACCTCCAGTGATCATCCAGTCCAACTGCCTGACCAGTTCAGGGCTGACCAGAAGTTAATGCCTGTTGCTAAGGGCATTGTCCAAATGCCTCTCAAACACTGACAGGCTTGGGGTGTTGAGCACCTCTCTAGCAAGCCTATTCCACTGTTTGATCACCCTCTTGGTCAAAAAGTGCTTCCTAATGTCCAGCCTAAACCTCGCCTGGCACAGCTTTGAACTACTCCCGTGCTATATTCCATCACTGGATCCCAGGGAGAAGAGCTCGGCACCTCTCTCTCCACTTCCCCTCCTAAGGAAGCTGCAGAGAGCAATGAGATTGCCCCTCAGCCTTCTTTTTTCCAAACTAGACAAGCCCAAAGTCCTTAGCCGTTCCTCATAGGTCGTGCCTTCCAGCCCTTCCACCAGCTTTGTTGCCCTCCTCTGGACTCATTCAAGAACCTTCACGTCCTTCTTAAGTGGTGGGCCCAGCACTGCACACCGCACTGAAGTTCAGGCCGCACCAGCACTGAATACAGTGGGACAATCACCTCTCTTGACCGACTGGTTGTAATGGGTTTGATGCACCCCAGGGTGCGGTTTGCCCTCTCTGCTGCCAGGGCATGTTGCTGACCCACATTGGGCCTGCTGCCCACCAGGACCGCCAGACCGCTTTCTGCAGGGCTGTTCTCCAGACACTCTTCTCCCAATTTATACTTGTGCGCAGCATTACTCCGTCCTAGGTGCAGAATCCGGCATTTTGGATTTGTTCAATTTCATCCCATTAATCATAGCCCCATGCTCCAATCTATTTAGAACTCTCTGCAAGGCCTCTGGTCCCTCAAAAGAGTCAACAGCAGCTTGCAGTTTGGTATCATCAGCAAACTTGCTGATGGTGCATTCAACTCCTGTATCCAGATCGTTGATAAATACGTTGAACAGAACTGGCCCTAGAACTGAACCCTGAGGAACAAAATTTGTAGCAATGAACATCATACAAATACATCAGGCATATGTGAGGGACTGCAAAGTGTGTTTGCTATACCATTTTATAAATAATATAACAAATGGAAAGCTACATTCTCGAGGAGTAAAGAGGCAAGGGCATTCAATTAGATTTTAAACTTGTATTCCCTATACTAAATTTTCCTTCCTGAGTAAAACTCCTCACAAATAGACCCATTCTTGATCTCCAGTGCTGGCTGGTGAAGTATGTGGAATTGCATGCTTCACATTCTGATGCAAAAGAAGATAGTAACTTAGGAAAATGCAGATGCATACAGTTCACTCTTTAAACAAGCAATCATAGTATCCTATATGTTGATAGCATTGCTTTCTGCCATGTACTTGATTTCTCTTAGGAATCAAGTGATCCTTCTGCAAGGTGGAGAGAAGAAAAAACAAGAGGCTATTTCTACAAGTCAAATACTCGAAAGTGAGACACTATTTCTTTTAAATACAGTTTTTGCTTGTGCTTTGCTTCATTTTTCATCTTTTTGCTACTGTGAACCTTTAGGAAGCAGGACATATGAGACCACAAACAATTTTTCTATCGCTTGGAACTTCTGGTGTTTTAACAGCATTTAACATAGGATTCATCTCATGAACTTCAGTTACCTAAAAGCTTGCATCCAGTCTGTGCCTTTCATCTCCACTTCCTCTATAGGCACTGAAGAGAAACTGGAGTTTCCAAAAAGGCGTTCTGCACATCTGTCTTTGACGCCTGTCATAGGCATGATATGACAGGTGTCTAATCTCTATTTATGTCTTGTCTCACTTAACTGATTATTCAAATTTAGACAAAATAAAATCTATCATCACTGTAAGCTTAATGGAAGATAAACTACCTCTTTCAATTAATGAGTGAGAAAGTTTTAAAGAAGATAAGCCTGTGAAATAAGTACTTGTTCCCCAACAAGCAACATATAACTCCAGGGTTTTCATTTTCCTTTAAACTAGAAATATAAACTTGCATTATTTTCTACAGCCTTCTTTATCACATAATTCCTTGTTGTCTAGCCACTGATGTCATTCGCTAATGATTATATGGGAACTTTTTTCTCTTCTTTTTTATTGTTGATCTAGAGCTTATGAAGAAGTTCCTTGGGGCAATATATTACGTTCCAAAATCCAGCCTCCAGAATCAGCAGTGAAAGTGTTGGCTGATCCTGTTTCCCACTGTTTCACAAAAAGGAGATACAATCTTGAACCTGAAATAAGCCAAGTCGGTGAACAATTTCTTGCTGATGGGTTTTAGGTGTTGCTAATGAAATGTAGCCTAAATTTTGTGTAGGTCATACACATAAACTCACAGCAATATTTTCAGATCAAAACAGTCCCAAGTGAACATTGAAGGTCATCAGCACACTCCAGTAATTGCCTCAAATGATTTCATAATTTTTCCCTCCCCCTCCCCTGTAAATTGGTACAGAAGAAGATATGCATGCACAGTGACAAAAGAGAGGACAAGGATACTGATGAAAAATTCATTGATAGGAAAGATCCTGTAGCATAACAAATGTCACATTAATTTATTGTGATTAACTGTATTTATTATTATTTTTACTAAACTAGTATTCAGTGCTGCGGTTGGTTCTGATTCCTGCATGAAAATCTATTAGGCCAAATTAATTAGGTAATGTTGCCTTACAAGAAGTGTCTAAATATGGTTTTAGGTTTGTTGGAGGCTTCTGCGACAGATTTCAGACAAGATCTTTTACCTCTCCACGGAGACCTGTTGACTTGTAAGTTTCATTTTTTTGTGAATATCGGGGTCCTCTGAGCACTTCGGTTGTGAAGGCTGCACACAGTTAATTATTTCAGAAGACTAAATTCAGCAGCATTCTATAACCAGAGAAGTTAAGATATTCAATCAATAAGTATATGAAAAGTGTACTCTAACATGCTTCTCTGGTGAGGGACTTAAATATAAAAAGCAGAACAGAAGAAATCTGTAAAGTAAATGATTGTCATGTCTTCATACATCTGATGTTTTCATTAAACACGACATTTACGAAAACACCATGGTAATCATACATGTATAGAAACTCAAGATTTTATCTGCTGTCTGTAGAATGCAAAACAATCACCTCTGCATTGTTGTCTTTTCTTTACTCTCTATTTCACCTATTCTGTTCTATCTCAGACTGGTGCATTTTAGATGAGCCCAGTAAAGGGTGACAGGAGGTTCAGAAGGGCTCAGATAAGAGCCGAATACAGATGGGGGAGGAGGGGAGGTTGGTCAAAGCAAGAAAGGAAAACTAGAACTTGTCTCCTTTCCAGGCCGTGAGCCAGCAGGTTTCCTTGGGCAAACTCAAGGGACAGGTGTGCTACTAGGCACAGTCAGGCATACAATGCAAGAGACAGGTACCTCTACAGGAGATGTAAAAACCTCTCTACAGGGAGATAAAAACCACTGTCATTATGGCTTCTTGGATGCTGCTCTTTCAGAATAGTATAGATGTGGCCAGTGAGAGCAGCTTGCAGGGCCAGAGCAAAAGAGAAGTTTAGACCTGAAGTTAATTTTTCCCATGTTCTCAAGAACTGAGTGAGAAAAGTGTTAAAAGTAGAGATGCCATTCATTTTTAAAGACAACTTGCCTATACAACCCTAGGGAATTGACTGAAGTCCCAATATCTGGTGATGAAGATTAAAAGAAAAAATTCTGCCTGCTAAACTGGGTCATTTAGCATATATGCCAACCTAATCATTTACCATGGTCTTTTACCAGATTCAAATGAGCATTGCATCATTCCAAGAGCAGAACTTTGACTTGTCACCACCTCTCTTTTGGGACCTCATAAATATTCTATCAGAATATTCTCTCTGGTGAAAAAAAGGTGATGGATCTATTTTGTCTTTAACAGTGTAAGCCGAAGCTCTCGATCCTGTCATATCCCTTTGTATACGCAAGTACAACATCCCTGGGTTGTTTCGACGTTCTACATTTTTGATTAAGCCCAAGCAATCCATCTCTCATTTTCTGAAGCAAGAGTTGTAGATGGACTATGTTATCTAATCTTAAAGTGTTTTCTGGTGCCAAGGGAGAGTGTGTGCCGAGTCTCCTCTGCTTGTGAGTGACTCTAGCCTTTTACCTGTAAACTAGAAATCAGGATCAATTATGTCCTCCTTGGGGGGATATCCCATTCTGATCATGGGCACAGCCAAAAGGACAAGAGATAGTACATTTCTATTTTATTTCTGTTCTTCCCAAGACTCCTCTCTGCACATATGTACTAGAGCTGTCATTTGTTATGTGCTGCAACCATGTTTTTTCCTGTGGACTGTTTTAATAAATAAATAGAATTTTGGAGCATGCAGTATATGGTTCAGCTGCTTCCACCAGCTGTCTTATGAATAATGTACATATCTTTGATATCCTTTCTATCCAAACAGTGGCCGTGTTGGTGCAGTAAATTTGGAAGACATTGACAGTGCCGATGTAGACTTAATCCCACTTAACCATGTACGAACTTCAAAGCCTCGCTACACAAGCACTGCACCGTATGTCTCTCTTATTAGCATGATTTTCATACTGCCTCTTGAGTTCTTGTTACTTGGGAAAGGGAAAAAACAGTTAAAGATTTTGTCTTGGGCCAAAAGAATGAAAAAAAATGGGGTGAACACTCTTTGTTCTTTTTAATAACTTGTATTAGGCCTGTTAAAACAGGAAGCACAGTGAGCTTTCAGATTCAAGGTTGAACCTGAAAAGTCCTGTGTAATGACTGAGTCAGTAGTAAAAGCCTACAGTGGTAACTGCCTGCAGTGGTCAGTGTAGGTCTGTATAAATCTAAGGGACCATTCAGTAAAGATAAACAAAATTAGTCAAGGAAGCTAGTACAAAATAAGCAGACAGATATCTACTGAGATGATGGTATAACAGATTTTCTCTATCTACTTGTGTTATGATAAGCTTACATGCAGCCTGTTTTGGCTAAGTATGACTTCATCATAGATCATTAAGGCCTGATTCTTTATTGTATCACGTTAGTATTATAGTTTCAGGGAAATTATGCTCCTAACACCAGGCATCATGCTTTTCAACCAGGAATGTTGGTTGGGTTTTTTCCATTCAAGAACTGTTCTGTGACCCGAGTGACTGTGCCATCTATCTAGTACAAAATGACCATGATGGACTGACAATAATTGACTGCCAGACCAAAAGCTGTCCTTAGTGTGCCCATAATGGGAAGTAAAAGCTGCCGGTGGTAACACCAGTGCAATATACTGTCTTGGTATAATGGATTCTTCACGATCAGCAGGCTCTGACCTTGGCTGGGATGGAAATCAGAGCAAACTCTCCCTCCTGCTGTTCTCCTTGCTAGACTAATTGCACAACCAAATTTTAAGAACTGGGCAGGCACCTTGCCCTGTTTCTCCGTTGAGAAAGGTTGCATGCAAAGCAAGCTGGTCTGAGCACATCTGCTAGATAGTATCCCAAAACACTGGACTTGTGCTTCCTAGTGTAAACGCCCAGCAGCAGGAAATAGATCTGTGTTGCATTCAAGGCTCAAGTGGGGAGGACATGGAAGAGGAGGTTCTGAGCTTAGCATGTGCTAGGAATTTCTGCTGATGCCATTCTGATAGAGTCCTTACTTCCAAAAAACCCTATGTTTATTTTCAAACGATGACATACTTTCCCACTTCAAACACTTCCTGTTCTTTAGTATCAATGAACAGGTCTGTTGTGTAGAAGTGCCTGTGCCATTGTTTGATGGGGGATATGACTTGAATATTGCGTGTTAAAAATGTGTAATTTTTAACTTTAGCCACTAGATGGCCTTTGAGTTTGCAAAAGCTCCCTGAGTGCCATTAGGAACACCTTACTTTTGTTAGAGCACGAACTTGGAAATTCAGTTTTCACTTTAAGCCTTTCCTAAAGTTGTCTTTAGTAGCTTGAGCTGGTATTAAGCATTTATTTGTAAACTTCTGAGAACATAAAATGGTAAAAGTGACAACATAATGGTGAGAAATAAGAATGATAAAAGAAAAAAAGACTGTTCTGTTCACTTGATCAGATTTTTCTTTTTGCATAGGCCTTTCTTTTCTGTCCTGGTAGTCGTCTTGCTCAGTTCACATTTGTGAGGAAACTATAGAAGGGATACTTTGTTGGGGGAAGCTGAAAAGCTGTAAAAAAACTGCCTTCTCTGTTCTGAGTAAAAAGGCATGATGCTGGGCCTTTCTCACATACGGCAGAGTATGTGCTGAACATTCCTAGTTGCTGGGAGCTGCCTTGGAGGTAGCTGGGATTTCTGAGCTCCACCTTAGGTCTGTTCATTTCTGTTACTGATATCAGTTCAGGGAGAATGCATATCCTTTTGCAGTGCAACACGTGCTGTCACACTGGTGGGGAACAGCACGTCATTCTTCACACAGCCTTACTCATTACAGCAGTAGGTTCACAGGCAAAGTAAGGTGCTAAGCATTGCAAGATGGTCAAATTTGACCCATATTACTGCAAGCAAACCTATTAATACCAAGCTTTTATTTGCATAGTGCACCATTCTGATTGTTTTATCTCACCTCCTGCACAAGTCATCTGATTTCTGACAGCCTGCATCTAACTTTTAACTTCTGCTTGAATTAGAACATAAAATAGTATAAATTTTTTACAGAGAAATGTGCTTTAAAATGTGCTTTAAAAATACAGCACACATAGCATAGAACATAGTGCTGAGCATAGATTTCTGGGTTTGTAGAGAAGTTAGCAGAGCTATTAACCCTTGGTTCTGCCATGTCATACTGCTGCCACTCTAGAGCTATGAAGAATAGAAGCTGATGTGTACACTGTGCTGCAGACAGACAACTTGTCTGGTGCTGTATGCAGCATATGATATCAAGGTGAATTTGTATATTTGAGCAACAGGTTCTGGTATTCTCCGTGTCATTTTCCTCTTCTTTAGTGAATGAGGCTATGGCTTTCATTGATTTGTGGCAACCAGGAGACTGAGATTTCTGAGACTTAAAAGATTCTGACATCTCAAAGCTGTGAAAAACTCAATTCCACCTGATTTTTTTTTAATTTTTTTTTTTTTTTGCTATGTGTGTTTGCCAGTGGTTCTGGAAAGATGTGTAAAGGTATTAAAGCTGCTAGACTCCCTCCAAAATCCTTGAGAAGTTAGTTATATACTTTGGATTTAGAAGCCTAAATATGCTTTGTAAGTCTGTAAAATGTAAACAGCTCTGTGTAGATAGTCACTTTCACTCTTTCATGGACTAGCAGTTGCACTTCCTGCCTCTAGCACTTGGGCAGCAGCGTTGGCACTCAGGCATCACTCTAGAGTGAGACACTATTCTTCCCCAGACCATGCAAGAAAGTGGTTGCCATTCAAATTATTAGCAAAGCTGAAACTAGCTAAGAGTCATCTGTCATGTAATTTTGCAGAGACAAACAGGAAGAGTGGTGAACCTGGGCATGTTTTGTATGTTACCCTTGTGCCCACCCTCTCTTCCTTTTGGCAGAACAGGAAACTGTCTTCTGTTTTTCTTCTCTTTTCTTAAGGAATTAGAAAAAATCTAAAAGTCATGACTTATGCTGTAGTTGAGCCTAAAAGGCCCTACTGTAAGATCAGTGTTGTGAAACGCTGCTGTGCACATACCCAGCACTCTAGATAACACTCTGAAGTCCTTACTGTGCAGTTTGGAAGTTTTACAGATGGCAATCCAGGTGCAGGGTGATCAAGTGGTTTGCCAAATCCCGTTGGGAATCTGTAGCACAATTTGGAATGAAACTTCATGTATCCTGAGCCCTAGCCTGTCCCTTTCTTTTACCAAACTCTGAGCTTTAAGCTATTGAAATGATGCTTTGCTGAAACTTGGTTTTACAAAATAATTATTGGTAGAAAATTATGGCCAGAGTTCTTGAAATTTAGGCTGAGACACAAGTGAAGACTTAGGAATCTAAGTCATTTTTATCCAGTTTTTCTATGTCGTTCAGACATGGAGTAGCTGTGGGAGCCTTCACCATAAGTAAAACGTCATATGGTAAGTATCGTGACTCATCTAGAAGTGCTAAATTTATGTATCTGAACTTGTTCATCAAAACTGTGTTTATGATCTAGTGGCAGTCTAGGACGATCAGTGGGCATTTTCCTAAGGGAGCTGTGGAAGTGCTTTTCTCAGGTCAGAGTATTCATCTTTGCACTTGACCAAATATCCTGGGTGGTGGTTCAGTTCCTCTCATTCTCTTCCAGGCTTTCATTAGACCCTGTCTTGGGGTAAAAGGATCAATTACATCATCTCTTGAGGTTTGTTCTAGCCCTGGAAAGCTGCATCATTCTCAATATCTTTGGTTTGTATATGCACTCCTGGATTTGCTTTAGGATGAACTTGTTCCTGGTTTTCATCCTTGGTTATGTTGCAATGTATGCCAAAAAGCTGGAATCTTCTATTGTTTCTTTGCCAACAGCAACATACAAATCTTTTTAAAAAAGAGAGCCAGTCAAAAAATCAGGAAGTTGTTATGAAAGAGCACTCTGAAAATATCTTTCTAATGCAGACCTTTTTCACCAACACGTCTCCAAAAATCTTTTCTAAAACTTATCATGATCTCGTTTTACAGCTCAGTGCTCCACTGAGTGGACTACCTTGTCAGAGCACAGGCACTGCAGGCTTGATCTTGTCTTTTTATGCCACTAAGCAGCAAGGTTCCAAATTGAAAGCTTTGGTGCTTTTTTGTGCTTACATTGTATATTGCTTGTGTAATTTTGTAGGTATACTGAACAACAGTTGTCCAGTGGCTCCAGTGGCTTTTGCTGTATTTTTAAATTTACCTATTTTCTGTGCAGAGTTTGTTTTTCTTTTGTTTTTTTTTCATACGTTCTCTACTCGTCTGCCTACTTTAAACTCTCTTCTTGTATTTTCTTTCTTGTCTTTCAAACCCATGAAATCTAAATTCCATTGGAATCGGTGAGTTAAAGGCATCTGGTTAACAAGATTACCTGAACAGTGGTAGAATTGAATATCCATACATTTTGCAGAACTGAAGCCTCTGCACTTTGTTTTAGAAGACTTCGGACTCTGAATTGACTATGTCGGTTTTCCTTAGTTATTTTTTGTTTGTTTCTTACTGATTTGATTATTAATTATTTGTTTATGGTGTATTGTGGAAGGTGAATACTGCATTTGGGTTTATATGTCACATAGCTAACCATATACTAGGTAGGGAAGCAACTAAAAGCTGAAGCTGTTTAGTCAGCCAGGCTTTCAAAAATAGCTCAGCAACCACACATGAAAACCAGAATTCTGAAAGAGCTCACATTCTGGGTGCGTGTTGATTGCTAAGCTCCTGTGAAAATCTGGCCACAAACACCACAATGAAACTGTTAGTGCTGAGCACTTTTAAAAATCTGATCCCCTGTGTGTAACTGCTGCTCCAGCCCAAATGTGCATCAAGGAAGAGGAGGACAGTCTGAATTCTGAGGAAACACTTATTTTCAGCTCCTCTGGGCAAGTTACACAGAAAAGAAAACTTCGCAGGAGCACAGCTACAGTGACTTCCAGGA